GGATTCTCTTCTTCAGGGTATTCTTCTACTACTACTTCATCTCCATTCTCGACATCAGGTTGTTGTTCCTGAGTCTCCACCTCACTCTGTGTAACAGGGATGAATGTGCTAGGTTTCCCTAACTCCACCTTCAGCTGACTACTCTCTTCACCTTGTATTTCCTCACTTACAGGTTCAGATTCAGCTTTCAAACATGGCATTTCGCTCTCATTGAATGTAACATCTCTACTCACAATGATTTTAACTCCTTTCTGGCTCCTATCCCACAACCTATACCCCTTGACACCTTCGGGGTAACCTAGAAAAACACATTTCCTAGCTCTAGGTTCAAGCTTTCCCTCACTCTGATGAGAAAAAGCAGTGCAGCCAAAAGTTCTAAGCATGGAGTAATCACTAAGTTTACCAAACCATTTTTCATGCGGAGTATCACCATTCAATGCAGCAGATGGAGTCAAATTAATCAAATAACAAGCAGTCATAACAGCATCGCCCCAAAATGACTTCGGGACTCCAGAACTTAACATCATGCAACGCACTTTATCAAGTATGGTTCTATTCATCCTTTCCGCTACCCCATTTTGTTGGGGAGTGTAAGGAACCGTTTTATGCCTTGTTATTCCACTTTCCTTGCACATATTATCAAAATCAGTGTTACAAAACTCTAGACCATTATCAGTTCTCAAAAACTTGATCTTCTTACCAGTTTGGTTTTCAACTTGTCTTTTCCAATTATTAAATTTATCGAAAGTGTCGGATTTCTCTTTCAAAAGGTAAACCCACACTTTCCTAGTATAGTCATCAATAATAGACAAGAAATACCTATTCCCACCTGCGGTGGGAGTGCTAGATGGACCCCACAGGTCCGAATGCACATATTCAAGCATGGTTCTAGTATTATGAACACTTGTGGAGAAAGTAGTTTTATGGTGTTTGCCAAGCACACAATGGTCACAGAAAGACAAATCAGACACACAGTCATTTCCAAAAGCACCTTTTTCATTAAGAAGCTTAATCCCCTTAATACCCACATGTGCAAGTCTATTGTGCCATTTGTGTGTATGATCAGACTTGGCGGAAGAGATAGAGGAGTCTAAACCTCTCATCACTTCCCCAGTGGTTATATAAATATCATTTTTTCTAATACCCTTAATAGAGACGAGTGCACCTTTAATCAATTTCAAAATCCCATTTCCAATTTTACCAGTGAAATCAGATTTCTCAAGTCTTCCTACTGAAATTAAGTTTCTAGACAATTCAGGGATATATTTAACGTCCTTTAAAGTATACACAAAACCAGTATCAAACTTCAACGTAATATCACCCATGCCAACAACATTGTAAGCAGAATTGTCACACAACACAACATGCCCATCATTTGATTCATACAAATTTTCAAACCAATCTTTATGTGATGTCACATGAAAAGATGCACCAGAATCAAGAATCCACTCATGAAAACGAGAATTTGCAGTTGAGTTTAATTCAGCAGAAGAAACAACAGAATTGGTAATCATATAGATTTCACCATCACAATTACCAGAGTCAGACGACAACACATTCACCTCGTCTCTATCTCGACCCTTTTGCTTATTTTTCTCTTTATAGCAATCTTTTATAAAATGCCCCGTGTTCCCACAGCCATAGCATTTCCTTTCCTTAATCCTAGATTTGGATCTAGGCTTACCCTTACTTTTCCTTCTATGTCCATTACTACTAGACTCGCCATTACTTTGGTAACCAATATGACTGTTTTGCCTAAACTGAGTTTTACTCCTCATCATGTGAATCTCACCGCTCTTCCTATCATGTTTTTCAGCCCTCATCTCCATCTCTTTACTTCTAAGGGAGTCAACGACAATTTCAGATGTCAAGGTGTCCCTACCATACTTAATAGCATTTTTCACTTCACGATAAATATCAGGTATAGCATTCAGCAAGATAATAGCTTTGTAGGTTTCAGGCACCGACTCTCCACAGTTAACAATATCTGAACAAGTTTGTTAAACACATCCAAATTGTCATCAAGTTCTTTTGAAGAATCCATTTTGAAACTGAAAATCGCTCAAGTAAGTAGAGCTTGTTGGGAGTAGCTTTAAGCAAATATAGATCTTCTAATTTTTGCCAAAGTTCTTTAGTGGTTTTCAGTTTTTCCACTTGTCTCAAAATTGCATCGACAAGTGTAAAATAATAGAGGTGTAAGCAAGCTCATCAGCTTCTTCTTTTTGTTCTTTTGAAAAATCAGCGGGAAAATTGCCATCAATGGCTTTTGAAACCTTTTGTTGAACCAAAATACCTCGCATTTTCTGTTGCCAAATAGAAAAATCACCTTTTCCAGTAAAAGTTCCCAAATCAAAATTGTGCGTTGTCATTTTCAAACAAGAAATACAAAGTCATAATTAAGCCACACAAAGTAGACTAAGGTTTACAAATATACACCGTTTTAAAATTCCTACGGTTTCGTAAGATTCACGATATTAGATCAAGGAAATTTTCAAAACGGGAAAGGTTTAGGCATTTTAGGGACTTATCAATGCAAGTGGGAGGATAATCAACGAAACAGTTTCACTCACAATATATCACAAACGATAATATGCTGTAATTAATCAAAAGAACAAATGTTAAACACGTAGCAAACGAAAAACAGTTAATTCCTAATTTCTAGCACAAGCAATGGTTACCCCACACGGTAACCCCAATTCTATTGTCACCCTACACGATAACGCGCTAGTGCTGAAATTAAAAGAGGATCAGCCAATTTACCAGAGCGGACTTGTCTGAATCCGTAATTTTCGAGAGTTGCGAATTTACTGCTTTAGGCCGCAATTTATGGCCTAAAGTAATTCAGTAAATATTTTTGCAATCGCTACCTCGATCTGTCTTAATCACCAAAGGGCAAAATTGTCCAATATTTTATGCAAAACCTGAAATACTAAAATAAATATATCAGTACGTTCAGGAATTAAAGTTGAACAAACTGCCTGAAAAATGATGGTCGGAAAGTCCTGCCACACGCCGCCCACACGCACCACCACCAGGTGCGCCTTGTTTTGCAGGGAGTGGGTCTGTGGTCAAAAGTTCCGACAGGACAAGGGTTTGGCCGGAATCGCAGAAAACAAGGGTGGTTTTTCTCGAAGAAATCGCGTCTATACGATTCGGGGGTCCTCCTCCTCCGTTGATCTTGCTTGGATTGACAGCTCTGATACCAAATGTGAAGCTAAAACCGCCTGCTTTAGACTTTGATCCGGGCTCAATAAATAATCGAACACCACTGTTACCAAACCAAGTCACAAACCGTCACTTTCCAAAAGGCAAAACGAGTAGTTTATTTTCTAATGCCCACACAGAGTTAGAGGATGAAAGGATTAGGCCCAAGATATGTTAACCACACAGGAAAGGAAGAGAAGCAGATTGTTCAACAAGAGAAAGCACAAAGCCTTTGAGAGCACAAAGCAAGAGGAAAAAGAATCTGTTCTCAAGAAACTAAAATGGCGCCTCAATCACTTTTACACTTTTCCAACAGTAATGGGTATAGTATTAAATTGATTAAGCTTAGGAATGGGCTTTAAGTCAAGGAATAGGCCCAATAGGATAATATTTAAGCGGGCTAGCAACGTAAAGCAATCTATACCATTTGGGTTGGGTCATGAGCAGCACTAATATAACTAGGCTGCTTCGAATGGCCCAAGTGAGTTACGTGATAGGTTTAGTCAACTGCGGTGTCGAAAACATATTCAGTCATTTGGTCGAGACTGACTGAATAAAGACAATACTTACATCATTGCCCGGGGGAGGTCGTTTGACAACAATTTGTCTAACAATCTCTATACAATTATTTCAAATCGAACTTATTCAATCATATGCCTATTGAATCTCGTGTAAATGACACGTTACATTAGGTCACGTCAATAAACATTATGAAGGCACACAACATCAATATTAAGCTAGTGCATGAATTGCAAACCATTTGAAGAGATTGAGTCCCTAACGATTCTATTTATTTCATAATACATAAATCAAAGTCTTTTTGCTCGAGTTCTGATTTAAAGTGGAGAGATAAAAGGACTTTGCAAGAACCAAAAAGCTTTAAGCCTTAAAGATGTGGACCTATAGTGTGTGGTATTTGTAAAAGATGTACATTTTGTGCTCTTACATATTCCTTTTGCATCACCCCCTTTTGAATTCGAATATAAATACTCTAAGCTCGACGTCACTTTTTAAAATGGGCATTCAAGACAGTCCAATTATTCAATAAGAGAAATTCCACGGAATCGATCTTTTATTGAAATCAAATATCCTCAAATTGGCTGTCTAGACAATGAGACGCTGCATTATGAAACCGTCGATATAATCACTTTAGGTATAGCGTACTTTCAAATTTGGTTTGCTAAAAAATGATGGGATCGAGATCTAATTTAAATGGCTGGAGGACAAAAACGTTACACATTTGTAGCTTCTATATTTTTATTTTTCGTTATTTTTTTAAAATTTAAATTGGGTAATATACTGATTTTCAAACTTTTCCGTAACAGGACAAAAAAGGTTACGCCGATTTGGCCGAACGAGAATGTGTACCACTCCCCTTTAAAATATTAAGTTATTTTTCTTCACAGTGGCACACTGACGGATGAAAAATTCTCTCTAACTGACTCAAACTTTTGAATTTTTTTCCGGTGCTTTTTCAGAATTCCGATGAAGCAGATCCCAGGTGTTGGATTCGATCGCTGGATATTATAAGTGCACAATTCGAGAAAAATTGCCGCTGATCTTATGCTGATTTATTATTTCTATATTTAAATTGATTCAATTTTTTTATGTCAATATGAGAGATTTGCATTTTTGATTTCATTGTTTCTGAAAGATCATAGCTTTTTATTCGGGTCACTATTCTGAGATTCTGGAATTTTTGGGTTTTTTTAGGGGTATTTGTGTTGGAGTGTTTCGAGTTTTGAATAGGAATATACATTTGTTGATTGAGATTTGAGGAAGAGAAGCAGGGGGAGATGTCGAATTCGAAGGTGGTTTATGAAGGATGGATGGTAAGATATGGGAGGAGGAAGATTGGGAGATCATTTATTCACATGCGATATTTTGTGCTTGAAACTCGATTACTGGCCTATTACAAGAAGAAGCCTCAAGACAATGTGGTGAGTACATTGAAATTTCAATTCTGTTTTCGTAGACATTTAAGTTCTTACTAACTGTTTTACTGTGGAATTCTAGATCGTAAGTTAAACTATATGATGTTTCTTTTCGCTGTAATATAGGTGCATTTGTTATTTGAAAAAAAAATGAATATGTTTCTTACGATGCAAATCAAATGCAAAAGGAATTATACGATCTTATTGAAATGGTTTTAATTAATGCCTCCATTTTCGCTCTTTGCAGAAATAGACATTTTGCTTTTCAGCTTGCTGCTGAAATAAAAGTATTAGTAAGATTGATTGATATTTACTTCTGATGCAACTTTCTGTATATGACAAGGTACCGATCAAGACGTTTCTTATCGATGGCAATTGTAGGGTGGAGGACCGTGGACTGAAAACTCATCATGGACATGTGAGCAACTACCAATATTTGAACTTTTCCATTCTGGACTTTGTGTTGTGTTTAATGCTATTTTAAGATTTGATCCAGTACAATGCTGATTGCTGTGCTATCCTTGATTGTGACAGTCAAAGTTTAGAGCATCCATGCATTTTTGTAAACTCTACTTCAGGTTATCATTGCTTCTATGATTGTAGCTGTGAAAATTATTTTGTAAGACTGTTTTTAACAAAACATCAATTTATGCAAATTGCGCCCCCCCACCTTTTTCTTTTTTTCTTTTTATCAGTTAAAATAATCAGGAACTTTTTTTTTGAATTTAAAATCCACGCTGGATAGGGTAGGGTAAAGATTAAAGCAAGTGCAGGAAAATTTACAAGGAGCTGGATATCTTAAAACTCATTCATCTTATTTCATCAATCAGAATATATAAGGCTACCTAGAGATATTTTAATCTGATATATAGCACTTGTATTTGAGCACTGAATGGTTCATAATATGATTTAAGGTCTTTGAACTTCCATTTAAGTTGAGCAATCTGGAAGTTAATTTAACTTGCTTGACTCGTTAAAGAAATATGACTGGTCACAGCATGTTGGCTAACAACCAATACAATTATGTATAGGCAGGGCTAGATTTTACTGGACTCTATCTAAAATATTCATTGGCTAATGGGTATATGATATTGTTGATGTTTAGTTATTTCTGTTGTAAAATGGGTGAAGTGATGCTGTGTTAACTCCAGATCCTTGGCTTTTGAGAATCTTGTTCTTGGGCATGCATACACCAAACTGATGATATTTGATTGTACATTATCTCTTTTAAAGTGGACCTTATGTTGACGGTAGCTGGTGATCAGAGTTTTGATATGTTGTGAAAATATTTCATGATCGAAGCAGTTGAGCCATGTTTTCTTCGATCGCGTTCTTGTTTGACCTGTTCTGTCTTTTCTGGCAGATGGTTTATGTTTTGTCCGTTTACAACAAAAAAGAGAAGTACCATCGAATTACGGTGCGTGATACATAAAAGATATTAACTGTTCTTGTTGGTATCTTGACTATTTTGGATGCACATGGAATTTTTGATCTTTGTTCTTATCAGTTGTCCTTTCCGTACAAGTTTTAGAAGAAATAAGAGGATCCTTTGCTTCATAAGCAATAGTGTATTGCATTAATCCTTAGAGGTCATTGGTGTTGATTGGATTAAATCATTTTAATGGACGTTATAATCAAATGAACCCGTTGTTGATAATTTTTCATTTTCTTTGGATTTTCTCTTTCCCCGGATTGCTTTTTCTCTTAATAGTTCCACCCTCAACTTTTTATTTTTTATTTTTTTCAGAAAAATGCCCAAAAGTCTATTAGGAACATGAGAAGGTATATGCCGTGTCAGGGACACCTATCATGCAATGTTCACTGACTAAGTCTGGTTTTGCTATAGCACCATGTACTTCCCCTCAGAGGAGGACTGACATGCAACACTCTACATGTAAACACTTGATCTTAGAAACTAGGAAAGAAGTGCTTGTTGTGCCAGTTTTGGCATCCTAAAGAAATTAATGAAATTGAGTGAGGACTAATGGTGACTGGATACACAAATAGAAATATTGTAACATCTGAATCATGTTTTAATGATTAGCACTGGGTTTCTTTTAGCAGCACATCTGTTCAGTCAGGTTGCTGTTCTAATTACAATATATTGTTTGCTGACTGCTGCGAGATTTTCTGTTGGCAATGTAAGCATCATATATTTACAATATACCTTGTTCCAGATGGCAGCTTTCAACATTCAGGAGGCACTCATTTGGAAAGAAAAAATTGAATCTGCCATCGATCAGGTTTCCTTAACATTATCGCTCCTTGGTATTTTATTATGTCTTTACTGCTCTCTTGATATTTATTGAGATTTTTTCTTCTACAATCGTTGTGTCTATGAGCGTTTGAAATATACTTGTTCTCAGGGCGGAGCTAGAAAAAATGTTGGAGTGGGCTGAAATAGAATTTTTTTTCCAATGAACTCACACTATAAGAGATTCTGTAAATCACATGGGATCTAACTTATAAAAAAGGATGAACTCATGATGCTCATGACAAAGTGGGTCAAATAATCAAGCATGTACCCTATCTAGGTGCCAACCCTAAGATGTCCTACTAGATCTTCGTTTCTTTCCTTGTCAAATAGGAAATCGACACCCTCCTTAGGAAATATAAAATGGCGGAAGCATATAGGCTGCAAAGGATATACACCCACCAATCAAAAACTAACAGAATACCAAATGAGTACTCCTATGAGATACAAGTCCCAAAAAACTTTGAATACCGTCATTCCAAACAATTGAAAATTTTGACCAAAACACTATCAAAATTACATGATTGCACATCAATGTTCCTAAAATACTATGTGATGTGGGCACTAAATCTCACCTGAAGTGGGGAAAATTGACCAGGAATATCGAGGGTCTAAAGAAATTAGATTCATGTCACTTCCACGTTTGGCCACTTCAATATATCTATAACTACATAAATTTATAAATAAGTTCTTAACTAATATTCTCTATAGCATCAAAATTAAATATAGGGTAAGTTACTTATTTTGATAATAGCATCTATTTCATGGTCAAAATAAGTAATTTGTTTACTTATAAGTATGAATAAGTAATATATGAAAACATATATAGAAACAAAAATCAAATTACTTTTGAAGCTTAGCCAAACATGTAGCATCTCTTACAGATAAAATAATAGTTTATTTTTAGCTTTGGCCTCTATCTAGTCGCGATTTTAGGAGAAAAATCAATTCTTTCGGGGATATAAGGGGCCTTTTCCAATTAATTAAGTTAGGCCATTTCCAACTAATTAAGTTTTTAAATAGACAATTTATGACAATGACTGTGGCAGGCATCCCATCTATTCATTTGTCTTTTTTGCTAATGACTGTTTCGCCCTTTGTTGAATTATAAAGTTATGGAAAAGATTTTCAAGGTTTGGGTGCATTTGGTAATTGATTATTACGTATAATATGGGTTGTCAAAATCTGCGACTGGCAGATTATTTTTGAACTAATATTTTATCGTAAAATCACTGTTTGCAAAGTATGAGATTGTGAGAAATAGCTGCTTTTTATTGAAATCAAACAGGAGGCTTAATCAATAAAAAATATTTATTATAAAATTTACTTATTTAATTATAAGTGAACTTTTTAAACTTAATAGACATCCATGAAGTAAAATCCCTAATTTGGTATCAAGCTATTCGTGTTGCATGAATGTGAATGAAATGAATATGTGATTATTGTGGAGTTTTTAACTAAATTTGGGCAATTGGACATTGGACTTGGCCTGGGACTAAGGTTGGCTGGGCTAAAATGGATGTTGGGGCTGGGCTTGAGCATAATTTTTTTACAGTTTACTTTGTCTCTGGGCTGGAGCTCATGCCTGCCCCCTATATCCGCCCCTGCTTGTTCTGTTTTTGGCACTTGAATATTCATTATCTTATCATCTTTTAAGATAACGATCATTTCATGCATACCTTATCAATGTAGCCTTAATTGATTGTGTGGATGGATTTGGCAATTAACTGATTACATGCTGGTGACATGCAGCACCAAGAGTCACAAGCTGCTAATGGTAACAAATTCCATTCATTTGAATATAAATCTGGAATGGATAATGGAAGGAATGGTTCATCGTCAGATAATGAAAGTCAGTAAGTACTTTTTTGCTGTGGGCCTTACAGAGTAGTTGTTTTAATGATGTTCAGTTAGAATTTTATGCTGAAGCTGACACTGGAAAATAACATGAGGTAGGCAGAAAAGGAATGTGTGGAATTGAATTGCGTCACAAAAATGTGTTCAAAATGGACCATGATGACATATTTCTATTCATCCAATCTCTTTAGACTGAGATATTGAATGGGGGATGTACTCTTTAATGGGGCAGGTTTCTTGTTGGCCACTAGGATTCGTAGTTGGAAGCTCTACAGAGAGTGACCTCATATGGGTTTCAGTTGTACAAGAGAGCAAGCTAGAATTTGGTAGGAGCTTGCATTAAAGATTTTGGGATTGAAGGCTTTAAGCTTGTAAGAGTGTAGGCTGGATATGTCCTTGGTTCTGATGGAATGTTTAATTTCTTTCTTTCCGACAGTACCATGAGCTAAGGTCTAGTTTCTTTGGATGTTACAATTACTAGCAATGAGCATAATGGAGTGGCAAAAAATGATTTATTTAGTTGATCCTTAATTTATAAAAGATATTTGTTGGTTGCCAAGATGACACTTCTTAGTTCTTACCATATTTAATTATTTATACTGATATATTTTAGATGTTATAAAATACATTGATACTAATGCCACTTCTTTCAGTACATAACAATTAAGTGAAAATTTATCTTTACGAATTCAGTATTGAATAGTATATCATGAAATCGGTGTAATACCTCTAAATGCCAAGTAAGTTACCTTTAATTGTATTATTCATCGTATTCTAAATTGTTCCTCATTCAGCAAATTCCATTCTCCTACGACTTTTATGTTACCATACATGGATGAAAATTTTTTTTTTGGCGACTTGTTACCAAGTTGTTATCAATTCATGTAACGGATTAACACTTCCATAGGTTCTATAAATCATATTGTTCAATCAGCTCAATTTTGATTCTTGTATGTTTTCTGATGGCTGCAGGTTTAGTGCTGCAGAAGATGAAGATGATTCTAATTCAAATTTGTTGCGCAGAACAACAATTGGAAATGGTCTTTGATAATTTCCTCGTCTTGTCTTCCTTGAATTTTTGGTTAGGTAACTGAAATGCTGTCACCCATTTTCATGTGACAGGCCCCCCTGAGTCTGTTTTTGACTGGACTAAGGAATTGGATTCAGAGTTGGTAAATCAGAACTCTAACAATCAAGCATTTGCGAGAAAGTATTGGCGCCTTCTTCAGTGTCAAAATGGTGTGTCAGAAGTTCCTAGCTTTCATAATCATATGAAACTCACAGCAGTGGGTCATGGGATAATATGCTCTTGGATAAACATTTTCTTTATGTGAGTTTGTAGGACTTAGGATTTTTGAGGAGCTCCTTGAAGCAGATTTTCTTGTAAGGAAATTTTATATATATTTTTTTTCCAGAAGGATGCACGTATGATTTAGCTAAGGTGCAGGATGTTTTAGGGTATATTCCTTATGTAGTTCTATTCATGTAGCCAAAGAGCTGTAGTAGAGCAATGAAAGCTGTTGGAGTCGTGGAGGCTACCTGTGAAGAAATATTTGAGCTAGTAATGAGCATGGATGCAACACGATTTGAGTAGGTGCTTTTATTGTTGACTCAAGATTTAGTTCAATGCCCCGTCCTGGTGCTTTTCTTAGCATGTGAATTTAGAACACTGTGTAGAGAATCGTGTTTGAGTTTTTCATTCCTAATACATTTGGAGATCTACTAGATTCTGAATCTTACTTGTCCTTGCCACTCCGCACTACTAGACATATCTTTTTGTTATTTCTTATAGATCGTAATAAGTTTGCAATGCTTACACCTTTAACGAATGCATTCAATACTTTTTATTGTCTTCATTGAAATGTTAAATATCTAAAGTTAAACCATATGCGTAAGCTAAAGAAGGGCATTACTCCGTGTTGCACGTCATGAAATTTCATTTCACATTGATGACTGACCTGGTACACCATCGGAAGATGAAAATATCAGTGCTTTCGAAAGCCATTTGTGCCTTCTGTAATTACATGCAAGTTTGTGATGCAATTATGTTACTTAAGCACTGAACACTGGAACATTAAAGTAGATTGATTTTTTATAGAAGCATATAAAAGAAGGATAAGAGTAAAAACTTATGGTCATGTTCGGGTATGTCAGTCTTTAGCGTGGTGGTTTTGGAGGTTCAGTAATGGAGGTTCAGTAATGGGTATTTGTTCCACAAGAGTCTGAATTATGGTGATGTGGTCAGTGCTACATCACGGTCAGAAAGAACTTTCTCTGGAAGAAAAAAATTCAGGGAGCTTTGAATAACAAAATTAGTTTTTGCCCTTGCTGTTATTAGTCTTATTTGCTATCTTGGCTTTATTGAATTCTTGTTTTGCTTTGCTTTGCTTTAAAGCACTGATTCATTTTTCTCTTGGATTTACAATTTCTTTGCCAAATTAAAAATTTGTTAGACAAAATTTATAATATTATGTTTCTCTTTGTTCCACATTTATTTGAACAATATTATTTATGCAGGTGGGATTGCAGTTTTCAGCATGGTAGCTTAGTTGAGGAAGTTGATGGACATACAGCAATACTATATCACAGGCTTCAATTAGACTGGTTCCCCATGTAATGTCTTTTTCTTGTAATAATTTTTTTTCTTTTGGCATTAGCTAGTTATTTGCATTCTTTTAATGTTGTTCATATGCACTCTCGGAGTTTATTCTTGACACTGATATGACATCAATGTGCGGAATTGTATAGTTATGTGGCTGCTTTTACATGCTTTTATTGCGCCATGGAATCACCACTCTAGATGGAACATTTTTCTTCTCTTTCGCCACATTCGCTTTTTCATGCCCTCAAACTTTGACTTTGCTTTGCAAAAAATTTTTCTTCCTCTCTTAGTTTGTTCTGTTCTACTAATTCATAGGAATTGAATTAAAGGATGTCTAGATTTTTCATCATGGAAAGATATAGCTCAACTGCTCGGACTACATTTGACTGATTAAGGGGTGTACCTTGGTTGTCAATCATTAAGAGAGTTGTACAGATACTTCAAGTTTATTGATTACAATCATATGATGTTGTCTATTAGATTGTTTTTATCACCGAAATTATTGCATGGTATTACAGGGTTGTTTGGCCCCGTGATCTCTGCTATGTGCGCTATTGGCGTCGAAATGATGATGGGAGTTATGGTATATGTTTTGAGGCCCTTCCCTTGTTTAATTATTTTGCGCTTCAGTCTTTTTTAATACACAATTGTCCTTGTTTCATCCTTGCCTTGCGCAGTCGTGTTATTCCGTTCTAGGCAGCATGAGAATTGCGGTCCACAACCGGGATTTGTACGAGCTCATATTGAGAGTACATTCACTTCCCTTGGCTGCTGGTTGAAATTGCATATTAGTTTCCTGAGGATATTTTTCTGTACTTTGGTTTATAGATAAATGGAATTGTTGTGAAAATCTCCACTTATGTTCCATAGCCATGACAGAAGACCTTTTGCTAATTTTTTTTAGGTGGAGGGTATAATATTTCGCCTCTAAAACCACGTAACGGGAAACCGAGAACACGGGTTCAGCATCTTATGCAGATTGATCTGAAAGGGTGGGGAGTGGGTTATATTTCAACATTTCAGCATCACTGTCTACTTCAAATGCTAAATAGCGTTGCTGGTGAGATCTTACATAAAATTATATTGTTAGAGTTGTTGGATTAATTGGATTTAATCTTGTGCTGATATTCTTGGTTATATATTCTGTGGTCTTCCCTTCACCCCCTTATTTTCTCCCATATTGTGTATCCTGTTAACCAATTCTGCATAAAATGCCTGGGTGTAGCATAAGAAAGATGAAGGTTGGACCTGGGGCTATTAGATCCCATTTTCAAATTCCCCAAGTTGTCCTGGATAACAAATACAATGATGTTTCAGAATCACTTCAGTAACAGCCACCAGCTGCTCAACCTTATTCCTTCCAAACTTGTGGTCAGTCACATGGATTCTTTCGTAGCACTACATTCGGAAAAGCCAAAAACGATCAAGGAAAAATGAAAAAAGGGCTGGTGGGGGTTTTGTTCACGTTTGGTATTTAAAGTACTTGTCTAAGACCATGTAGTTTGGTCTTATCTCTCAAATATGTTAATCAAAGGAGGATTAGACTAACATCTTCACTTAAGCCATTTGAGATGCACATATTTCTATATATCCATGGTATGCACTCCCTTCACCATCTTGTGTAGTGCTGCTTTACGTCATTATTTAGTGCTGCTAGTTTTTTGTTGAGGCAAGTAGAATGTGTGAATTAGCTTGGTGATAATAGATTGTAATTGAACTAACGTATTACATAAACTGAGTGTAAATAACGACTGAATGAAGCTATTTGTTATTGTGTTCCAAGCTTGTCCACACCGATTTTTTGCTTAATTTATTTGTCTGCAACGTATTACATAAACTGAGTGTAAATAACGACTGAATGAAGCTATTTGTTATTATGTTCCAAGCTTGTCCGCACTGATTTTTTGCTTAATTTATTTGTCTGCAAATTTCCTTCTATTTTTGAAATTATATTTGACATATGGAGTGCCTGCAAGTGAGATAAGGGTCATGCTGTTGCATATCATTGCAATCAAATTATGTTTCTAACGTCCAGATCGATGTTCAAAGTAAAGTTTCAATGATATTTATAGTTTTCTTTCTTTTGTTTTTTGTTACAGGATTACGTGAATACTTCTCCCAAACTGATGAAAGGACTACTGCTCCTAGAATTCCTGTTATGGTTAATATGACATCAGTTTCCGGTTCTTCAAAGAGGAGTCACAAACTCAACTCGTCTTCTGTTCATCGCAGTCCTTCTCTAGATCAAATACAAGCTGCCAATAAAAATGCTGTATTGATGGATGAATACTCTGATGAAGATGAAGATTTTCAATTTGCTGATCAAGGGGTTCGTGTTGTACATGTGCTTTTCATAATTTCTCTTGGTTTCTGGTTTTGTTATCTTTTGGTGGGATATTTTGCAGGCATTGCCATCCACTGTAGAAGTTGAAGGCAAGAGAGCTGGTAGATATTGATTTATTTTCTGTTTTGTTGATGTGCCTTAAAACCTTTATATTTTTTTACAAATTGAAACGTCTACTTACGATGATGTGTACAACATGAAGCCTACGAAGAACCTAAAGACCAAATTGACTTGTCCATTTTCTCGGGCAACCTTCGCCGTGATGACAATGATAAGGGCCGTGACTGCTGGACATTATCTGATGGAAACAACTTCAGAGTTCGTAGTAAGAGCTTTTGCTATGACAAGTCCAAGGTGTTCAATTTCATCTTGTTAATTGCCATATACATGGTTTTTACCTGCCAAATATTGTTTGGTTCTCTTATATTGATTTGGAAACATATTTTTGAAGATTCCTGCAGGTAAACATCTTATGGATCTTGTTGCAGTAGACTGGCTCAAAGATACAAAGCGAATGGACCACGTTGCCCGACGACATGGTTGTGCAGCACAAGTAAGTTTCTCTAGCGGCAACATTTTTCTTCCCAATTTATCTGCTTAGCTTGTCGACTGCCTACTATAAACTGTCATAGTACACTTCTACATTTTGATTAGTTTGTCAATTATTTTATAGTGAAGGTCTTATAATTAATGACCTTGTATCTATTTTTCTATTGTAGGTTGCATCTAATAAAGGACTTTTCACAATTGTTTTTAATGTGCAAGTAAGTGATAGTCTATTCGATTTCAATTCTAGTTAATTGTCTGTTGGGTTTGAAGAGACTTGATAACATTTGTCTTCGTCCCTCAAGGTACCTGGATCAACACACTACAGCATGGTTTTCTATTTCGTGACAAAGGAACTAATATCTGGATCTCTTTTACAACGGTTTGTTGATGGGGACGATGAGTTCCGCAATAGTAGACTGAAGCTTATTCCATCAGTGCCCAAGGTAAATTTCTGCTCGTCTCCCCTTTATCAAAATTTGCACCCCTTCACTTTTTCTTTTCAACTTTATTATGTTGGGCACTGGACTATAAATCACATCTGTGAATCATTTAGGGCTCTTGGATTGTACGTCAGAGTGTTGGAAGCACACCATGTTTACTGGGAAAAGCAGTCGATTGCAACTATATCCGTTGTCCCAAATATTTGGAAGTAACTATTCTTTTATGTTCATCCTAATCTATCGAATCATTCTAGTCTGCTTATGTACAAGGGTTCGATCATAGCAATGCTTTGTCTGATGCCCTGAATTCCTTATGGTGTTTTACTTCTCTGTAGATTGACGTTGATATTGGTTCTTCAACCGTGGCAAATGGAGTCTTGGGGCTCGTCATTGGCGTAATTACAACTCTTGTTGTAGACATGGCATTTCTTGTACAGGTATTTTACGTCCTAATCCATGATATCTCAAAAGAAGTTTTATACAATTCAATATGCCTGAATGGAGTTTCTATACATAATACGATTCTCCATATAACTTTCAAAAGAAAAACTTGGTTGATCAACGACGAGCTTGTAAAATGCTTTAATTTATTCTTTTTCGCATTTTTATCAGGCTTGCACTACTGATGAGTTGCCAGAGAGGCTTATTGGTGCCGTCCGAGTTTCTCATTTAGAACTATCATCTGCTGTTGTCCCCATACTTGAATCAGAATCAGCAGAGCCTAGCAAATCATAATGTGATATGTTCAACTTCAATATATATGTTCTATCCATCAATTCTTTTACTCTCCAAATGTAAAGATCTAATTTTTCTTCAAATATTCCTTTCGTGCAAGTAAAATTTGGGCGTGGATTTTACATCCTTCTGGTTACTCAAGAATCGGAACTAATGTTACTTTTATAGTTATTTTTTTACATAGACAGCATCAAGATTCCTATGAGATTGAGTTCTTTAACCGTTCCAATTTTAATTTACTAGCTACTTATTTCATGGCTTTACATAGACAGCATCAAGATTCCTCTGGACTCTGGAGCTGACTTGTCAGTTAAAGATGGAGTGTTTAGGCTTAACGGGGGTGGTGAACTAATCAACCTGTAGTACAATACATATGTAGTGAACAAGAAAAAATGCTATATATGTCATTACAGTGTTTGGCAAATTTTACACTGTTAGATGCATACGCAAATAATGCCATGGAAGAATTTCCAAGGCAACTTCCTTGGGCCTTTATTGATTTGAAGGGAAATCCTTTCCTGAATGTGATGCTATGTGATAAGTGAGGAAGGTTGGTTTGTTTGTTTGGTTTTTTATGTTTTTTTTGAATTTTTGGCGAATGCTTTCTTTCTAAGAAATTCTGTTGCTATGTCTCACGAAGAGTAGAAGGGCAGTCACAGGCCAGCTGACTAATCAATTTCGACTCCCTCCACTTGGTTGGTGTGCTACGAAGAAGGATGGAGATAGGTTTCTTTCTTAGCTCCGTTAAGAAGGCCCATCGTGAAGTCTGAGGGAAGGCATCTCTTGTTGCAGATGCAAACAAACATATTTGTTTCACTTTCCTCAAGTTAGGAGAGATAATGGACGTGAGTATAATAGGATCTGGGTTCAAGAGAAAATACCAGGCTATATATTGTTGATGCATATATTTGCATTACATTTGGAAGATACTAAGTGTGACCATATATAGTGGAAGGGAAGAGGTGATGTCCATTGGATGTTGATGCAGATATTTGCATTACCTTAGGAAGACACTAAATGTGACCTTATATAGTGGAAGGAAAAAGATGATGTCTATTGAATACGTGATACGTTGTCTCATTGTAAGTTGCTACGAAAAACTTGTCCGGTTATGATGTTCATTTATTTCTTGTCATTGCAAAAGATAAAAGATTGAAAAAGAACAGACTCTCCATCTGCTGCCCGTCATCCTTCAGAGCCAATTTAGCTGCTCCTTTAGCCTGTTAAGCATTACAATAATACAATGCATCAAGTTTTAAATTCTAATAAACATTATATAGAACACGTAGTTCTAGCTCGTGTTTGATAGTGATTAACGTCTATATTTTTATCAAACTCAAAGTCAACAATTAATTTGCACCATATTTCAAGTTAGAAAAATAATAGTAAAGATTCAATAATGAGATGAACTGTTTTGGCCAAGTTACCAAAGCTATTGTATTGATATCCTTATATACCCGAGAGTTTAACAATTTACAGAAGGGATATAACTGCGGAAGGAGTGATTGACTCATTCCAAGATAAGTCAATCTACAAATTAAAGCTAACAGAAGGCTATAATTGCAGTAGGATTGACTGATTTATTCCAGAATTATTCAATCTAACATTTTACAGAATTCATAACTTTCAACTATATATTTTATCAACTTTTATCAAATATACTAAAAATTTAATTTTAATCCCCACCAAACAGAGGTTTAGAGAAGAAAAATGCTGTATAGTTCACAGTAGGCTACTAGAGTTTATGTGTGTCCATAGGTATAGCCTATACATATACGTAATTAATAATTTGAACTATCAAAATGATCATCTATGTAATATAGGAAGTAATTATACTGCAAATCACCAACTGCGAGCCCTATGGAGAATGAGGAACTATTGTATGTAATAATCTCCTAAATAACTACTTAAAAAAATAAGAAATGCTATTCATCCCCACTGGGGATGTATCCCCAGTCTATGTGGCGTTAATGTGGTATTAAATGATAGGTAAAATTAAATAAATCATTTAATTTCACCTATCATTTATATCCACATAGATTGGGGATGCATCCCCACTGAGGATGTGTAGCATTTTTCTAAAAAAATAGTCTTCGAACTTTGTCAAGATGACGTCAAATCAAAATCAAAAGGTTGCCATGTTCAAAACCCCAGCTATCACACCCTTTTTCTCCCGAGTAATTCTACGTAGCCCCACTAGGGTTGTAACTCCAATCTAGGTAGCCCTAAATGATAGGTTAAATGAAATGTGAAATTAAATGACTTATTTAATTTCACATATCATTTAATGTCACATTAACGTCACTTAGACTAGGATTGTAACATCGGTGGAATTAAATAGCATTACTTTTTTCTCCCACTTTTCACCTTGGAACACGCACCAGTTTTATATAGATGGGTGCTTTCACATCTCCTTGACCTCCTAAAGTAATGCCTTTATCGGTGTACTTTTCGATGGAGATGAAGATAAAAATAGAAAGATAGTTTGAACACGATTTTAAACAAGAATTTAATTAAAATTATGATTGTTTATATGAGATCAAATTAGATTTAACTATTTCGATAAGATTCTAGTTTATTAGTGATAGCTCAACAATAACTAATCAAAAGGGGGTGAATTGGTTTTTAAAACTTTTTCGAAGAATTAATCTAAATTCAAGTAAGTAAATACTAAATAAATTAATTCAAATAGTAAGCACAAATATAAAAGCGATAAGTAAAAGGGAGAGATGATGCAAACAATATATTTGTGGAGGTTCGATCCAAAACAATGATTTACGTCCCCCGTTACCAATCTCTCTGGCACGAGTAAGACCTTTTCACTATGTTGATTGACTTATGGTGCAATCCAACCGTTTACAACGCTTCCGGTGACTTACAAACAAAAAGCACCGATCCTTATACAATGCTGAGTTTTACGGGACCTCAATATGACCCACACGGTGACTTACAATAAGGAGCATTGATCCTTATACAATGTTAATCTTTAAGGAATTTCAAGACGACACACACTTTATCAAATTGATTTTACAATAAATTCCTCTCTTCATAAATAATACAAACAAATTAAGTACTAAAAGAGGTTAACACTTCAATAAATAGTAATAAATGATAGCTCAAGTGTTAGATGAAAAACTTTGATGAATATTATAGTCAAAAATTAGATTCAATCAATCAAAGTGTTTCAATGAGAAGATGAAGAAATAAATACAATGTAGGTTCAAAAATCTTCTCATGAAATATCTCTCCTTTAATGGATGATTGTAATGAATTAAGTACTAAGAAAGAAATGAGAAACTTTGATGAATATGATGATTTTATAAATTTAGTTCAATGAATCAAAGTTTCAATATTAATTCAAATAGTAAGTACAAATAGAAAAGCGATAAGTAAAAGGGAAAGATGATGCAAACGATATAATTGTGAAGGTTCGATCCAGAATAATGATCTA